AAGCTTTCATAAAAGCCTGAACTTACTAAGCTCGATATGAATTTTATAGTAATTTTCTTCAATTTTTATTGTACTCTATCAAATCACAATTCATTTTGAATTGAAATAAAATAAAAACTAACCATAAAATATACAAAAATTATTGAAATTTGTGTATAACTTCTTTTTTAATTGGTTGAAATAATGTTCGCTCAAGTGCGAAAAATAACCAGTTCAGTAATCAAACAAAGAACTTTAAATTTAATTTACGTAACAAAGTTTATTTTATTTGTGTCATTTTAGACAGATTCGTTGATATTTTCTAGTAATGATAATCATCAAATATCTTTAAATTTACGCCTAATTTGTCACTCATGTAATCGACAGTTTGATCAATTGGTTTAATTGCATGATATTCCTCTACTTCTTTTTGTGAAGGCATACGGGCCAAATGTTTCGCTCCTTTTACAATTCTCTTCACCAGTGAATCGCTTTTCTGCAGTTTTGGTGCGGGCTTTCCATCATCGCCTGCTTCTACGTTGGAAACTAGAAGCTATGAATACAAAAAATTTGTTTGAATTTTTTAAAAATAAAATTGAAATTATAATGAAATCTCTCCATAGTGAAATCACATGTGATCAATTTTTTCCACTAATACGAAGGAAATAAAGAGGAGCTGCAGATTTTTTTTTTGTATTTTAAATAAAAAATTTAACCTGGCAAACGATGACTCCGACGAAAAGAAGAACGAAAATATAACGATTCAACATGTTTAATAAACTGGGTCGATTTTCTTGTTTTAAATGGGTAATAGTAGTTGAATAACTGAAAATTTACTGATAATTTTCATCGGCTAGACTGACTTTATATACAATTTATCGGAGGATAGTCTAATTTTTTACATTTACGAGTATTAAAAATAAAAAATTTATCACAGTTATAATTTATTTATGTGTTATGAGCCATTGACGTAAGTCGTGTATAATTTATTTTGGATAACTCTTTATTATTGTGCGTTACAAATGAATAATCTATTGAAATGTGTAAATCGCAAATTCAAACGAATTCATACGTAATTCTTTTATATTTTTCGTCATCAATAATTCAGTGATCGATCTTTTTGCGCAGTTTTCAATGGAATCAACTAAAAGGCTATTGAACTTGGGGCAAATTATATTAAAATTTGTAGATTTGATTTTAAATGAACTAATTGTTGTAAATATAAGACTGAGTCGAACTTTTAAAAAGAATATATTTAATATATTTTATCATGGAAAATTTAAACAAATAACTTAATTTGTAAATTAATTGGCATATTGACATATTCAGACCATGAAACAGACAAATGATAAAAACAAAACAAATTGGTATTGATATAAATTATATCAACAATTTAGGTATGTAGACGTCTTTCAAATAAATAAAAAAGTAATTTAAAATCACGTTCACAAAAAACAATAATTGAATTCGTGATAATGAGAAAACATTGTCAGCAGTTATTCCACGATGAATGAGAACTCTCGACTCTGTACTTCATTTTCTTTAAGTTCTTTTCCTTAAGGGTCTCCAAAATGCATTCTTTCACTTGTTTTTATCGGTCGGTGCTTAAATGTCATCCTTAATAAATTGTGTTCAGGCAATTTTACTGTTCGGGTCCTTTATTTGTCTTGCAAATAACCATTCAAGTGTATGATCCTAGGGACTCGAAAGTATTTTTTGTTCGTAAAAAATCTGGCATATTCACGAATGTTGGTGCATTTTGAGTAGTGGACTTCACTTTCTGTGAATATTCTTGAATATTCCTGATTATCGTAAATACGCAAAATGGCTGCAAATGGTACATGGCATTTAGTGGAAAGTGATTTGTAAAATCACACAGGCTTACTATAAGAATATTAATTACACACTTTTGAAGCTCTTCACGATTTTTTTTTTCGTTTGTCAAAGAAATATAAATTTTTGGCCTGAAAATTGTTTTTGTGTATTTAATGATAACATGATTATTAATTTTATTTTGTGTTGTGTGTGTTTCAAATCGCTGCTGTAAAAGAGCTATATAATTACAAAAAACTACGATAATAACTAATATTTGTAATATTTGTCGCTATATACCAAATTCATACAAAACTGTGTTTATTTTAAGTTTTTTTTTTTCAAGTTTCGAGCCCCTAGGTATGATCTCCTTTGAAGTTTTTACTAGACTTTTTACCATTCATTCTAACCACCTCTTGTCTCAATGTGCTACAGTGGTCTGTGCGAAGCATAAGTTTTTGGTTCGATTCCGTTTTCTCGCACCTAAAAAGCCCTGACTAGTGATTTTCAAGAAAAGGATCACAAATTCACCTTTCAAAAAACTTTTTCTGACCAGCAGCTGAGAATATCAGTGGAAGTATAGCGAACTAATATGCCATTTCAAGTCGATCAACTTCCTCAAAACTATTTTTTTGTCATCGTAAAACTGAAAAAAGGCATTAAATTTACCAGCCAATCTTTTTATGCGAGTGCATTAGATGAGAGGAATATTATTCTTTTAGTAGAAGATTTTTTTACAATTATTACACCATTTTTTTTTAATTTTTTTTATTTTATTTGTAATACAAAGTGATTTCGATTTTGATGTTAATCGTCTATTTCTTCATTGATTTTCTCATCATTCTCGAATATATTTGTTATAAGTATTAGTCCAATACTCGATATCTTCATTGCTCATTGGTTTGTATTCATGGCGGGCGTTGATCTCTTCCTCGTTGATTGGTGGGCTGATAAGATTATTAACCGCTTCCTTTACCTTGCTTGCACTTCTCTTGAGAAACGAATCATTTTTTTTCAGATTTTTTGGATGGTTCTTCTTATCGCCTTCAGCATCGACCGAAATGAGGAGCTGAAAATACGCAAATAAAAAAAAACGAAATAATTTCAATCGCTTTATTATTTTCAAGCTAAAAATTACCTGACAAACGATGACTCCGACAAAGAGTAATACGAAAACGTTTCGGTTCAACATGTTTGAATGAAATTGCGGGTTTTGTTCGCGAATCTCTTTTAGTAGTAATTGAAAAGCTTACTGATAATTTTCATCAAATTAATCCGGCTTATATATGTTTTTTTGAGTGGAAAGAAAAATTAATTGCATCAT